CGTTCAGGGCAGCCGGTCAGTTGGGGACACTAGTCAGCAGCCGGTCAGCTGGGGACATCAGTCTGACCCATCAGCAGCCGTTTGGAGCCCCACGTCCCGACGTTAGAACACCTGCTGCACGCGCTATGTGAGTGGTGTCAGCGGCAGCGCGGTGGGGCAGCTGTAGCACGGGACTTCCGAATCACCGTACAGCGACAGCTGACGCCCAGGTGATGTCAGTGTCGACATTCGGCTACCTCTGGATCTCGGTCTGCACCTGGTCAACTCCCGAACGGGCCGGAATGACACGCGGGCATAAAAACGGACTGAGCGTGAAAAAGCCGTCATGTCTTGGCCGGGAGATGTTATCACTCAGTCTGGTTAATGAGAGTAATGAGATCGAAAATGCCAATGGCGGTTCCTGTTATCCAAGGCTGGATATGATGGTTATAGGCACTCGGATAAAAGTTGAAACCCACGATATCATATGAGGCACCGTGCGAAATATCACAAAAACGACCTTTCACCCGTTGGAAGCAAGACATTATTTCATTCTTATGTAAATTCGTCAATCCTCAACCGGGGGAATAGTGTTTGACTTTTCATTTCACCCCAAGCATTTTCCAAATGCATCGATGATGTGCAGAAACGCGATACGGGCAGAAAAACATCAACTGGCGTCAACTGCTGAATGTTTGGCAGGCGTTCGGTTACTGAAATATTCAATCGTTTGGTAGCACGGCTCCAAAGTCAACGCTGTGTGATAAAATTTAAGGTCAAGCACGGAAAGAAGCAAAATTGTACCATACAGTTTGAATGCTTATTTAATGCTTGAAAGAGCCAACCAATAAGCATTACTTCATTTCTTTACGGAGTTTAGTAAGCGGTTGTGCTCCTCAACTGCGCCCTCATTACCATGCTTGAACTGAGTGAACCGTAACGCTCATGTGAGCCGTAAGGTAATGTCAGCTCCAAGAGTGTACGAATGAGCCCATTATCAATTCATAAACAAAAGAAGTTTTTTTTTAGTCAGCTCTCTCAGCATAACTGAAGAGGGTTAAAATGTTTTTTCTTTTATCTGCAAAGTTAACCCGCGCACCGACGGGGGGGGCGGATATCCGCCCCCCTGAGGTTTTTCGCGAATAGCGGGAAAACCGCGGCGCGTAGCGCCGCGAAATTTGGTATGACTATTCCCTTATCAATTTTACACATGGTGTGCAAGTTTGAACCTCCTACCTTTCAAGGTCAGGTCACCAGGTCACTTTGAATGACCCAACCTCAAGTCACTTTTTTGCAACTTTGTCACCGTGCCAGAGCTACAGTAGATGTCGAAGGCCTTTGAAAGTCGCAGGATGTTATTAGGTCATTAGTAGCTACAATTTGTATATCTCGGAATTTTGATATCGGTGACCTAAGGTCAGGTCAATTTCGCGACCTCCCCATTATAAGTCAATGGGGGAAAAATCAACTCCCTGTTTTTACCACTAAAACGGGTCGGAATGGCCCCATATACCATACATGACTTCATATACGATCAACCTTCACTACCTTGAGGTCTGTTTTGCTGTTGGGCAGCTGTGAGGTCATGTGACGTCATCAAAGGTCACCAAAGGTTTTTGGCCAATAACTCCGTACAGGAACAAGATACAGACGCGTGGATGGTCTCATTGTGTTCAGCTCGTCAAGACGCATCGAATGATATACATGATGACCTCGAGGTCACGTGACCTGAGGTCAACCTTTGACCTTGACCTTTCGAGGTCAACATATATATCATTCGATGCGGATTGACGAGAGGATCACGATGATGCCCTTAGTTTGTTCCTATCTTGACTAATTCGAAAGTTATTCGAGAAAAACTCTCTCCATATTTAGCGCTGCCATTTTGACTTTTTCGACCCCTGTGACGTCATCTTTGACCTGACCTGAAAATGACCTTAGTAAAAATTGTAGATCTTGACCGTGCGTATCCGATGCCGTTTACCGCTTGTCGCTATCTTGCTTCGTTCTCGAGATCTCAGGGGGGGGGGCGGTCATCCGCCCCCCCCCCGTCGGTACTAAGTTGGCGCAGACCCCCGTCGGTGCGCGGGTTAAAGTTCGACCTATCCTAACGACTGTGGCGAGAAAAAAAAAACTGGAAGGTCATACGCGGGCTTTTTGGTCGCCCTTCCATTGGATATTCCATGGGCGCTTCTGCAGCCGTCTCGTCAGGCTCACCTTTCTTACCCTGCACCTCATGCCATCGCCCGGTGCCCGCCTGCCGTGGCCAAACCGCAGCGGCAGTAGCCGGCGTAAATTAGCGTCGGCAGCCGGGCCCGCTCCCAGTGGGCAGTGGCTGGCTTCCCGCGCTCCCAGACGCGTATAACACGCCCCGGTGATCACTGACCACTTGAACGGCCCTGTGGCCGTGCAAATGCACCTCGTAATTACGCCGACCTTCGCTCCGCTGTGAACTGGCGACCGGATGTGCACTTCTCGGCACTTTTGAAGAGGATCTCTGAGAAATTGTGGTTTTGAGTCAACTTCCTCCAGTTTGGTAGTGAAGGTAGTCCTTATTGCATGCATCAGTCCGTAAAGTTGCGCGTGGAATGTCAATTTTGAGTGTCTGCTGTGAGTCAGAATTATTCATCGTCCACGTATGGGACGAGCTGTTGGCAGGACCTGATCATGGCTGCTAATTTAACGTCATTAATTTATTTAGGTTGTAGTCATATTCCCACTGCATAATGTTATGAGACATTCTATTTTTACCTTATTCTCATGCGGTAATTTCATTTTGTAGGATAAATAACATCATGTGAAAAACAATTCATTTGTTTCCATATATAATGTGGCGAAACCAATAAGTGACCACTGCAGACCCGTGCTGTTGTCGCTCCGTTTGAGTTTGGACTGCATCTCTCAACACTAGACTGGATAGATCTGTGACATCGCTGTGCCGCTATCCCACCACTGTGTCGCCCCTCTGATGCCGAATAACTGCACGGAAGGATAGACATAAAGCCCGTACTCCCACATACAGACAGACAGACAGACAGGCAGACAGACAGACAGACAGACAGACAGACAGACAGACAGACAGACAGACAGACAGACAGACAGACAGACAGGCAGACAGACAGACAGACAGACAGACAGACAGACAGACAGACAGACAGACAGACAGACAGACAGACAGACAGACAGACAGACAGACAAGCGGGCAGAGCTGACGGCTCTGAGCGGCTGAATCCCGGCGTGACGAACGGCACAATGGCTGGCGCCGCTCTCCATATTCATCGAACACACGCAAATAACACCACTGACGACCAGTGCGGGATGGATGGTAATTCAAGGTCAGATGATCAGCGTAGGCGAGAAATGATGCCGCAGACGCGAACCATAACTCATGGAAAGTTATGGTTTGACCAAAACACACGGTTATGTCGCATGCTTTGAAGGTCGACTTACGACTTACTAATTATGAGTATCAAAATATGTGTATCGCCGTCGTCTGTGGCTGTAACATTCTAACGTTTTTGGAGATTACATATGATTTTCGATCGTCCATCCACCCAAAACGCATCTAGCAGTTCACTGACTGCTTCACCTACCCATCAAATACCCATCACACATGCATCCACTGAACACTCTGACCCTAGCACGGGGCGCCCTAAGTGTTGTATTTACCTACCCCTCGCTGTGCCCTTACCCAACTGCTCGGGCCACTCAACTATATCTAGACTGCAGACCAGGGCGTAACCGGCTCGCACTCACTCCAGCTGACCCACCCAGCACGCGATGCTGTTATTTTTGCACCTACAGTGCGGCGCGGCTCCCCCACCCCACACGAACTCACACCTCGGGAAGCCACGCTAACTGCCCTGTCCGGAGCTCCGCATCAGGGCCGCCTGGGAGCGGCGCGAGGTGCCGACGAAAAAGGTTCCGTCGTGACGACAGTCATGGTAGCGTGTCGGTGGTTCGTCTTCCGGCGGCCCGTGGATCCCATGTCTCCTGTCTCGTCAGTGCGTGACTCCTGCGTAACTGACGTTTCTTCAGGCGCTGTGGACCGGTGTCTTCATTGGCATGTATCTTGATATTTCTCGTCAAACATTGTCTTCTTTTACATGTCTCCTGTTGTCTCGTCGGACGGTGCCTTCTTTCAAAGGACTTTGGTTCCCGATTCCCACATCACAGACCGGTATATGCTCTCACCCTCGTAAACCACTCCGTCTCCGCGATCGGTGTCTCCCCACATTTGTCTATTGTCTCCCCATCTCTGTCTCCTGTCTCGCTCACGACCCTCCCAGCTCCGTCGTCTGAACCACGACGCTGACCGCTCGCTTCCGGCGTGACGTCACTCGCTCGTGAACAGATGTGACGGACGAGACTCACGATCCACGACTAGCGTATGCGGCTAACGGTGCCACGCTGATAATCAGTGGAAACTCACTATAAAGAGACTGTATGTATGACGGTATACCACACGAGGACAAATAAAAACAGGAAAACGTGTGAGCTATCCAAATAGGAATGAAAAAGCATTGGCAGCGAACCAGAAGTCATCTGTCAATCTTGATCAGTTAATATCGGCTTTGATCGATTGCCTCACGACTGATGACACTGTCCGATGCGCACGTGCGCACGTGCCAGTCGACGGTGAGTACGTGCCGTGCGGCGGCGGTGGAGGATTATAAACGGTCGAGTACGGTCAGCGACGCACGTGCACGCGTGCAGTGTCGCTCACAACAGATTTTGGAGCACAGAGCCAGCGGGACTGACGTCAGTTGTTAAATGAGCGGATTTTATGGGATGCTATTGTAGTCCAAACTGTTACTTGCGCGTCTCATGACAAACCAGAAAACAGCGAAAAAAGGATAAGAGAGAAAAAACAGACCGGAACAATGGTGTGTAACATGCATGCGACCTATCGACCTGTAATTGCGAATCTTAAAGTTATTTTTCCAAAACGCGTGCCTTCTTAGATGTATATCACATGTTGCATGCAATCTATCATGTTCACATGACTTTTTATTTCGCAGTTTGTTGTCAGCAGCAGCGGTTCCGTGTCCGTCCGTCCAACGTGAGCGTGGTGGAAGGAGACAGCGCCATCTTACGGTGTGAAGTGCAACACCAAGTCGGGCAGCTCCAGTGGGCCAAGGATGGATTCGCTCTCGGTAAGTCCAGTCCGGTGAAATGCTTATGTTGCCCTCAGCGTTGTATTTTGTTTGTCATCTGCATACATCATATACCTATGGATCTTATGAGCCTCGACATCTTGTTTAGAGTGGGTGCAGCTGCACCTGACATTTGACCTTCAGGATGTTTCATCATCAAGAGGCCTCAATAATTCAGTTGTGGTGTAGCTCTTTGCTCGTTTTATGGCATTTGTCACCAAATTATCCCAGAATGATCCTTACGTATATTTAATCCCACTCAAGGGCATGCTTTCTTTTGTAATGTTCCACCAACGTCGACCCGTTTTCTTCTAAATCCTGTGCTTCCAGCCCAGACTCTCGTCCCGCGGGAGTTGCCGTAAAAACAAACCAGTGCAGCGGATGGGTCCTGTTTGACTTGCTGGCTGGCCGCAGTAGCCGCCACGCGTCACTCTTTGTGGCCCGCCCAGCGCGCGGCGTACCGGCCGCGACTCCTCCCCCTGTGACAAATAACCCGGCCACCACACCGGTAATGGCTTTGTAATTGAATAATGGTAATGGAAATGTCCGGGAGACCAGGAGCAAGTAGCGATGGTCGGCCGCCGCACTGGACGGCAGAAAACCACCTGAACTCTCTCGGAAAACCCAAACATATTCGATATCGGTATCGATGGCGGAGAAGGAAAAAGCAAGATTGAAAGTTAGGTCTCCAGCCCGACCTACATTTTCCCCACCACCGGATCCAGACAAGGATAGAATGGGGAGAGGAAGGAGGGTAGCCATTATTGATAGCTTTGGACCAACAACCAAAACTGTTGGTCGACTTTTTTTGTAAACGTTTTGGACTTGCCCTTTGCCAATACCTAAAATAGATACCGTTGGAATAAACTTGGTCACTAATCGAATTAAAAATACGTGGTTTGGCTGTATTTATTTTGAATTATTTGAATAGGTACATTTGCAAATGTCATTTATTTAAGACTAGAAAAATAAGAAATAACTTCAGAATCACAGCAAAAATGCGTGAAAGTTTCGTAAGAATTGGTTTTGCATGGACAAATCTAATTATCTTTCTCGACTTTCTCAACACAGGCTATTCTCGACAACTTCCGGGTCACTCGAGATACAGAATGCTGGGTGACCCGGGGTCAGGAGTGCATGACCTGGAGGTCACCAACGTGACCCTGGAGGACGACGGTCGGTTCCAGTGTCAGGTGTCGCCGAACCGGGGACAAGACGCCATCCGAGCTGACGCCATACTCACCGTTCTAGGTAAGAAGCTGTGAGTGTGATGCTAGCTAAGTCTTTATCAGGGATACCTAAGTAAATTCGAGTTAATTTTTATCTGACATTCAAAAGTTATAGATTTCACACCTCTTACGAAGAGTATTAACCCTCGCCGGCCGAGGGGGGGGGGCGGGTGCCGCCCCCCCATAGGGTTTTTTTCGCGATAGCTCCGAACACGCTGGCGATAGAGAGCTGAAACTTGGCATACCTGACCTTTGATCCAAACCGAATCTTTTGACACCAACCGCATTTTTGGGTCAGGTCAGGTCACTGACCTATGACGTCATAAGTGAACCTCTGCACGGTCTTCAGATGTCGCAACTTCGCAACGCCCTCACTGCCAGAGGAGATGTCACAGGGAAATGAAACTTGCAGGATCTAGTATCCATTATGAGTCCCACAACTTGTATATCTCGGATTTTTCCTATAGGTCATATGAGGTCAGGTCATTTTCGTGACCTCACCATTATAAGTCAATGGGGAAAAATGAAAACTGCTATTCTGGCGCCGGGAACGATCTCCAACTATCTCAAGCACACAGAATCGTGATTTGATGCACTCCTTGCAAGGTTAGATGCGTCACTTTTGCAATGTTGACCTTGCGTGACGTCATTTATGACGTCATCAAGGTCATATTAGTTTTTCGTCACTTAACTCTTGATCAAATTGAGCTAGCGAGTCGGGAAAAGCCACCAATGGACTCAGGAAGACCTGCCGAATCGAATGATATGCGACATGACTTCTTTCGACCAGCTTCGTGACCTGGGGGTGCTGACCTGACCTTGACCTGAGGTCAACACCCCAAGTTGACCTGACCCGGACAAAAAGTATACCATTCGACGCGCCGGAGCGAGACGAACACGATGCTGCCAAAATCGGCGCTCTGCGGCCGTTTTTTGCGAAGTTATTCACCAAAAACTGAACCGTACCTTGGGGCACTTGACCTGACCTCAGAGGTCACCGGTTGACCTAGGACCTTAAAATCGGGTACCAATCTCTGCGTCTCGTAACGGCGCACACGCTCGTTTTTTCCGCGACGCGCTAGCTCCACCAGGGGCGAAACGGCGAGGGGGGGTCGTACCCGCCCCCCCCCTCGGCCGGCGCGTATGTAGAAAACCAATAGGTCCGGCGAGGGTTAAATGTTCCGCCATCCATTGCAAGTAGAAGTAAAACCCTACATTTATTCATCACCAATAAAGCGTCATTTCACTCTGCCCCTATCCCTCATCGTCATCAGTGAAGCCGCGACTGGTCCAGCTGAGTTGCGGCCAGACCTCGCCGACGGCGCCCGAGGGCAGCTGCGAGGTCAAGGAGGGCGATCAGCTGACTCTGGCCTGTGACGTCATCGGGGCACGGCCGGCTCCGAGCGTCCGCTGGCAGCGGGAGGGCGAGGACATCCACCCCAGTGAGTAGCTCACGCGTCAAGTTTTGATGTGGCTGGGTCACAGCAAGAGAACGAGTTTCGTTAACTTTTCCAAATGTGTCCGTCATGGACTTTTAGCATCCTTGTTTCGTTGCAATACGATTCGGTGGTTAAATTTGCGCATCAGGTGCTGTGGAATCTGTGGATATATTTCACGCCCTTATCATTTATCACGTATATTTGAACCTTGACTCTTTAGTGCCCTGATTTGAACGTGCACACATCAGTCCTTCCATTGAGCTTTAGCGATTTAATGCATAGCATGATTTCTTCCAGGACAAGAGGTTTCATATTCCGGCTGGGGTCATCCGGGCCGTAACGACACGACCTCTGTGGTGACCCTGCGACCCACGGCAGCCGACGACGGAGCCGGTATCTCCTGTGTGGCCCAGCACCCGGCCATAGCGCCCGAGGACCGGCAAAAACTGAACGCCACCGTGCGACTCTCAGTGCTTCGTAAGTAGCAAATGCAAGAGAAGACACTGCTATGGAGGCTTAGGCTCCAGTAAAACCTCATCGAAGAAGGTCCTTTGTTCATCTTATTCTCGTCTGGTTTCGCTCTCGAACTCATCTCCTTTGTTCCTGCAAAGGAGATGTGTAGTTTGTCTTGCTGAAATTTCCCCAGCCATTGCCATTTTTAGGATAGGAGTCATACGCAAGCATACAACACTCGCAAATATAAAAGTGCAGAATCCCTTTTGCTTCGAAGGTGTAAGAGCATCCAATTCGTAACCATTGAGGACATGTTGACATCCCTATTCCCTTTCCTACTCGCGCAGACCCACCTGGCGCTCCGGAGATCAGCGGCTACACGGAAGGAGAAGTGGTCAGTATCGGGCAGCAGAAGACGCTCACGTGCATCTCCAGAGGCGGAAACCCGCCCGCCCAGCTCGTCTGGCTCAAGAACGGACGGCCGATCGCCTTCAAGTATCGAAAAATGACTCGTCGGGTTTTAGCCCAATTTACATTCACGGTGACTCAGGCTGACCTGAGCACCATCTACCGGTGCGAAGCGTCTTCCATAGTTCAGCCTCAGCCGACGGTGGCGCTGGCACAGATGAACGTCCAATGTAAGTGGCTCCCAAGGGTGGCTCCCATCGGCAACGGAAAACAGCACGTCATTAAATTTGCATGTTTCAGCGACTTTTACGATCACTCTCTGTCAACATTTACCGCGAGTTCTGCCGGCCTTTGCTGGTCGTTTGTGTTATTGTTAGGCAAGCATTTGTTTCGTATTATAGGTTTATGATGACATTTGTGCCTAAATGTTGCTTTACGCTTTATGTTTGGGATGGACGGGACGCTACTCCTAGTGCTTTATATTTCCAGGGTTTTTCCATCTGTGTCGAATTTGTTTGCAAAACTATGCGATGTGTGCTATCATATTGACTTCGTAGCCTTCGCACTCGCTCTTTAGTCGACATAAGGATGATCAAGCTTTGAATCTAGAGAAGTGCGACAAACTCTTTTGGTTCACCTCAAATTTTCCATTTCAGTTGGTCCCGAGCGAGTCACCGTGTCGGGAACGCAGGAGGCCAGAGGCGGAGATACAGTGCACATGTCCTGTATCACATCCAGCAGTAACCCGCCCGCCAACATCACCTGGGTCATCAACGGCAGAACCATGATGAACGTGAGTGTAAGGCGTACTTGATAATCAACTCGCTTATGTCTTGTGTATACCTGCGTGCTCATTGTTCGATTCCAATGGCGTATGGTGTGTCTAAAATTGACCCAATGTAGACTGATCTGTTGAGTTGACAAACGTTGCTTCCCACAGACCACGCAGAAGATTGAGCACATCGCCGACCTGGGCTGGGTGTCTCGCTCGAACGTGACGGCGGTGGTGCCGGACGGCATGGAGGAGGACATGGTGTTCTCCTGCTACGCCGTCAACTCTGCACTGCCGCTGACCAAGCTCAGCACCGCCACCGTCCGTGTCCTCTGTGAGTTCCACTCCCTTTGAACTTCAGGAAATGATGTTATGTGTTTGATCGCTTTTTGCTCGTTTGGGGAATGCATATTTCCTGGTATTTTCCTAAGCACGAGTACGCCGTGATGAGGACCACTCTCAATAAGATTGATGTCCTATCTGCTTAACAGGCACTAAGTTCAGGAGATTGATTATCGATCCGATGCGAATATTTTCATTTATTTTTCACAGACCCTCCGGAGCCGCCGACGATTCTGGGCTACGAGTCGGGCTCCCACCTGCGGGCCGGAGAGCGGGTGTCTCTCTCGTGCGTCTCGCAGGGCGGCAACCCGCCGGCCACGCTCACCTGGTACCGGGGCGACACGGAGCTGGCCTCGAGCACAGAGGTGCGCGACAGCGTGGCCAGGAGCGTGGTCACGTTCCAGGTGGACCACGCCGACAACGGACGCGTCTACACCTGCCGTAGTACAAACTCGGGCATCAGTGGCTTCCAGTCGAGCAGCGTCACGCTCAACGTACACTGTGAGTTTGGCGAATCGATGACGATTAGGTGCCCGCTGTCAATGGCAATATTTCCGCGCACTTACAAATTGTATAGTTTGGACGACAACCTTGATGCGATTTTCGATGACAAAAAAAGCATTGTAGGACAACACATTTGGAGTAAATGCTTTCTGTTTCAGTTCCTCCGTCGAGCCTGAAGCTGGAGGTCCGTCCGGACGTGTTGCGGGCGGGCAGTCAGGCTCTGTTGACCTGCGAGTCGAGACCGTCGTACCCGGCGGCTGAGCTGACCTGGTGGCGAGATAACGTCCAGGTCACCGACGGGGTCACCGCCCTGGAGACATTCAAAGCCGGCAGCAAGGGCGGGTACGTCCTAATGAAGTTTCCGACTTTCGGTAAACTTTGCCGTTGCCGTCGGGTCTAATTTGCTTACAACTTGGCACAATGTTCTTTTTTTGTAACATGAGTCCTTATTGCGTGAGGGTTCCTTTGGATGGCCGAGTGTTTTCAGCGGTCACTTTTCATCTCCTTTAGGTTATCCAGCCGGCTGCAGCTGCGACTTAATTTGACCTGGATGGAAGACGGAGCCGTATTTGGCTGTCGGTCAAACGCGTCCTCTCTGCCCGGTGGACTGATTGAAGAGACGAAGCTGAACGTCCTCCGTAAGTTTCGGAAGCATCGATAGACAATGGACAGTGCACACGCTAGTCGAAGCCACAAAGTCCTTAAATGCTGTACCAATGGAGCAATCCTCGATACAAATGGAGTGCACTGAAATGTATGCGTTTGTTCTATTTAGGTACACCGCAGATAAATAATATCCATGTCATGCGCTATCTCCGGCTCATTCCTAATTAATTAAACGGATAAAACACTAGAGTTACATTTGCTTACAACATGTGTCCTTAATTCCAGATCCGCCTGTTTTCTCCAAGCCCGTGTACGAGATCGACATCCGTTCGGGCGAATCACGAGTGGAAAACCTGACGGCGCTAGCGAACCCAGCCAGCGTGCGGTACTCTTGGGAGCGGGAGGGTGCCGCGGTGCAGCGGGACCGATGGCAGGCGAGGGATGACGGGTCGTGGCGGCCGGATGGAGGCTCCCTGCTGACACTGAACGGTGCCCGCCGCTCCCACACCGGCTGGTACCGCCTGACCGCCGGCAACGGCCAGGGCAACACCACCGTCCGGGTGCACGTCAACGTTCTCTGTGAGTACTGAGGGTCTGCCGGGGCCACTTCCTCTGGATTTAGACACACGAGGTCGAGGCTGCTTGACGTTTCCATGTACTTGATGCCACTTTACTTCATGCTCCTGGCAAACAATCACTGTACGTATGTACATAGACTGTACTTTTCCTGTCGACGATTGACGCATTGTAAGCTGCGCTCCGCTATTTTTCCCAGTCAGGTATCGGTAATGTGTATCTAACTAACGTCGCTGTTGTTCGTGCGGCAGATCCTCCGGAGGTGGACTCCATCTCCAACATATCGATGGTTTACCCCGGGGAAGACGGGGTGATCCGGTGCTCCGTGAACGCCAACCCCATGGAGGACTACATGATCTCCTGGCATCGAGAGGGCTTCAACCTGGCCTCGGACCGGGTGAGCACGTTCACGAGGAACGGCACCTCCTACCTGACGGTCCACAACGCCACCAAGGAGGACATCGGCGAGTTTCTGTGTCGGGCTGACAACGGAGTCGGACAGGCCACCGCCACCGCCGCCCTGCTTGTCAAACGTAAGTATAAATCGTATGAGAAGATACGAGTACTCTGAGTTTCAAAGATGCTGCATTTTACAAAGGGAAAAAAACAGTTGATACCAAAGGATGGTTGCGTTAGCGGTAATCACGGCAGTTGTCATGCACATCATTGGCATTTTCCGAACAAACTTGCGTTATGATGAACGGGTGTCTGCGGCGAGGCAGTCGAGACACCTGCGACGAAGCTGGATGAATGACGAAAGTTGTCTCACCTTGAGGAAGAAGTATGTGCGAATTGAAAACTTCTGCATGATGTCGCAAGTTTCTCTCATAATGAAAATAGTTCCCATACCTGCCCCTGAAGTATGTTGATGAAGATATCCCTGAGCACCATGTCAACTGTCAATTCATTATTCGGTCGTTGTTCATTGCAGACGCCACGGAGTTTGTCGGGCAGCGCCAGTGGTCGCGGTCAGCCACGGAGGAGGGTGGCGTGGCCGACCTCACGTGCAGGGCTCGAGGTGTCCCCAACGTCACCTTTCAGTGGTCCAGGCTGGATGGACGTGACCTGAACCCCATCGCCGGCTCTGACAAGCTTCAGTACGAATACACACAGGTAAGCGAACTGTTTTCTATGCATGCATTTTCCCTTTGAAATCCATGTTCAAAGTATTGAAGTCTTGAAGTCTTGAAGTCTTGTATATACGGAAGAAGGCGTACTGCCTGTAACTTCCATTACTCCTACTGATTGAGTGGGTATATGGCAGAGCTGGGTGAGGAGCAGAGTATTGGTGACGGTATTTTTTTTTTTTAGTTCCTTAGGTACGGCAGACATGGTTAGTGATCATTCGCTAACTTTGCAATGTCTCTGTTTTGTTTTGTTTTTGTTTTTGTTTTTGGTCGTTGGATGACTTTTTGAAAGTTTGTATGAACGTCCGGCAGCTGGACCTCGTTACATGGCAGTCGGTGCTCCGCATCAAGGACGTGCAGTCCTCGGACTACGCCACATACGAGTGTGTCGCCCTCAACGAGCTGGGCTCCCAGCGTCAGCAGATAGAGCTGGGCCGTCCCAGTGCACCGGACCCTCCGCTGGGTCTGAAGGTGGTCAACGTGTCACACGACTCGGCCACCGTGGCCTGGGAAGCCGGCTTCGACGGCGGCCTTCCTCAGGTTGGTAGCTGAAGCATAGGATTCACTTGCCTCCTTTTGCTTGTTTCGCATGTATATTATGTGACACTGACAAACAATTAGAAGTTCTATCACATCAACCCATATAACTGTTTTACGTTTTCGTTCACAGGTTTACCAGCTACGATATTATCCCATGTCGGGCAAGAGACATCTAAGTTATGTCAAGGTGCAGCCTCCGAATGCCACGACCTTCACTGTGGACAAGCTGGCCCCTGACACGGCCTACAGTTTTGATGTCAGAGCATACAACAAGATAGGAAAGAGCACGTATTCGATGGCTGTAGAAGGCATCACTATGCGTGAGTTTTTAAATCGGTCATGGTTGACTATGGCCCAATCCGTTGACTACGGTAGTCGCCTGTTGCCAGGTCCGCCTGCGCGGAGTTAGGTTCAATCTATTCTCCCCTCAATCTTCGTCAATGAAACTGGATTTACTCGGGGTAATCAGTAACACAAAAGTCGTGCAACGTAGTTCCCCTGCTGCTAGCAACGAGAGGGATTGGACCGTGTGCAGACATGATTGGGCGCGTGAAACTTTGGCGCTAACTTTCTGCTTGGCCGTTTTTACTCAATTGCAAGTTGGATGCCAAAAGAAGAAGCAAAAATTCTAGAACTTCGGCTAAAAAATATCGAAATCCGCTCTAAAGTGCCTAAGCAGTGCACAGCTAACAGCAAACGTTTGTGTAAGAAATTGAAGCAGTTTGCCATTGCGCTCTTCTTCAGTGGATAGCTCTTCAGTCTTAATTGCTGGGAAAGCATTCCCTTTGCCTTTGGAAATAAATCTCAAAAGATGAAGACGAGCTGACTCGTCAAATGTTCACCCTCATCGGGTTGCTGATGCAAAATTTGCTGAAATTAAGCAGTCGAACGGTTTATTATTGTTTATCAGTCCGGCTTCCATTAGTCCACCTTCCTTTGCCCAACTTGCCATTGCATTAGATGACTTTAAAACGGGACCCTTAGAGAGGTCTGTTTTTTTTCCATTGGCGGTGCACCACATTAGTCTTACCAAATCTTTACTTTGAAGATGTGCTGAATGGACTAATGTCCCGCAAATGACTCTTGATTGATCGGACCCACGTAGCGGACTGATGTAATCGAACTGATGTTCTTGAGATGACTGTCCGACTGGCTGGACTGACCCGCAGGTGATATGGCCTCGGCCGAGCACGAGCAGCTGACGCTGGAGCAGGGGCAGCTCCCGTGGACGGTCGTCATCGCCATCTCGGCCGTCGGAGGTGTGCTGCTGGTGCTGAACGCCCTCCTCATCGTCTTCTTCGTGAGACGACGCAGGCAGAGGACCAAGAACAGCACCATCGACTCGGCCTGTGAGTTGGACTGTCCATGGTGAAAAGTCACCATTTATGATAAGTTACACACCATTTAAAAATGTTCGTCACGTGCACAGCTTATGAGTTAAATTTATGATAAGTCGCTTTTGTATTCAGATTAGACACATTTGTAACGATGTATCTCCTTCTGCAGCGACGAGCGACACCAGCACAAAGTCTGAGGCGGCGCACATGTACGGCGCTAACAACGACTCTGCCAGCTCCCCGTCCGTCAACAGCTGCGGCAGCTTCAGCCGCGGAGACAGCCTCGAAGAGTGTGCCGTAAGTACTCCTCGGCTTACCTAAAATATTGAGCATTTGGTCATCAAGCATTGTTCGGCCAGTCTTGTTGGAGACTTCTGCATCAATCACTGTGTATCTTTTACAAGCTGTTGAGGTCGCGACGTACCGGGTGCGATTTTATCACTCCTCCCCTTTTGGTGCTTCAGGTGCTGTCCAGCAGTGGTGGAGGTACTGCCGGGTTCGGTCCCTGCGTGGGCGTCCCCCTGATGGATCCCGTGGCGGCCTCCCCAGCGGACCTGTACGTCCTACCGACGTCTCGCGGGGCTGCCGGACGGCCGTTGGGCGTGCCGTCCTCCCCTGCAGCCGTGCCACCATCTCCAAGCTCTCAGACGCTACTGAGGAGCTCATCCCGCCTGCAGCAGCCGCTAACAACCGTCTCGAGTAGCCAGACTCTGTGCCGGAACGGCCACCGCCGTCTACCGACCGCTGGAAGTCCCCCGGGCTCGTTCTCCGCCGGCGTGCAGTACGGACTGGCCATGGCGCCCGATGAGCACTACCTGTCCCCTGGAGTTCGGCCGACCTCAGCCGAACATTACCTGTCACCCCCGGCCAGGTCACCGACCGGGCGATATCTGCCACCCTCGACAGTCGCGCTGGGCGCCGAGCACTACCTGACACCGTCCACACGGCTGGCATCGGCACAGACATCTGCTACTCTGACGCCGACACGAACAAACGAAACCCAGGAACAACAGGAGCCACAACAGTAAGTGATAATAAGCAGCATACATTTACCGAATGTCGTATCGGGTATTTTTTTTCTTTAACTACCGGTTAACGTCCTGTGCCTTTTCATATGTTTGCAACCTAGCTGTCTGAACAGCCCTTTACCGTTTAACTTCTCGACGACGTCGGCCACGTTATTCCACCATCATGTGTGTGCCAATCGCTGTGTCTGACACCAGTGACCTGTGTTCGGCAGGTTCTGGTTTCGCTCCGACCAGCGGCCGGTCGTGCAGGCGCAGTACTCGTTCGCGCACGCGCCTCCGTTCTCCCAGCCGGCCGGACACTTCCCCTATCTATAGCGTGGGGGCAAAGACGAAGCCTTGATGGCGAGCGGGGAGACCATGCGTCATGAAAGAGATGTGCTGGCGCTCTGGGTGCCTCTAACCGGAGGACATAGGTATGCGGCGGAAGTGTGCGAGGTGATGGCTCAAGATTGCGTTTTAGGACTGCGTGACTGCGCTCTTGGTGCTTCACGATATGTCGTCTGAGATTCCGACACGCTCTACGGATTGATGCAATTGAGAGCGGGAACGACTCGCACTGATCTAACTATTGGCTGTGATTTCCTGGACTACGCTCGTTGGTCCTGGGAACGATAGCCTCACGGTGCGAGGGGCGTGCCGGCGTGTAGGGCCGTCTGATGGTTCTGGTGCTCCGCTAGTGGCGGTACAGTTGCGGGCTCAGTGACTTATAGATCGCGGTGGAAATGACGAGCAAAGTGGACTCTTGGATTTGTAGGTATATGCGTCATCGTATATGGGATGGATTTGGAATGTGCAGAAGGCTGGTAGGCGTGGATATGAGAACGATGCATTGAATCTGCGTATTGTATTATTTTGTGTATATTTGTGTAATATCTACCTACCAATGTGTTATAGAACGGCTCCTTTTGTGTCAGTCATCTATGTCCTTCGTGTTCAGTCAAGGCGCATGGTGGACGTTGGACCCGTTCAACCACCAAGTGTCCGAAGTTCGTTGTAAATGGTACCCATTATTTAATAATCAGTTGCTCTTACAACTAATTGCCACAGTTCCAACTTATGACTGCTTCAAAAAATGAAATGGCCCAGGTCCCTAAATCACAGGTATTTACCGTGGTTTGAAACTGCATAGTTTGAAGGCCTTGACACGTGTATGCTTATGTTGCATCCTCGCTTAGCTGTATAAATGCGCTGTATTCACTATTTGAAAACGACAAGGCACCTCTGTTGTACCCTAGTCACGCCTTTAGCTGCTGCATTTCAGGCTATGCAAGGCTGTAAATAGATCAAATATGATATACAAAGCTTGCAATCTCTGAAGTGTTTAGCAATAAATTGTTTAAAACTGTTTATTATTGATACTTTAATGATTTAATCCAATAGAGGCAAACGTTAAGTGCAAAATAGGTAAATCGTATTTTTATACGCAAAATTAACATTGTTACCTTACCGATCAATGGTACCTTACCGTACGATGTCCAAAGAGACAATGAAGCGTGATAACAAGGATTGTAAAGATGCGCTATAGAGACACGTACAGTGGGTCTATTTAAGATCTCCAGAGCCACCACGTGGCGCTACGGTCGGGGTAGGGCGAGTCCAAATCCCGAGGGAAGTGAGGTCACCGGTCATTGTGGGGGAAGGAGGGAGGGGGAGTGAGGCGGTATCACGGCGCATGGGGCGTGCGTAGCGCCGGGAGTGGGCCGCCCAGGGCCGCCCGCCACTGCGCCGAGGCTGAGGGGAGGGGATGATGGTTGCGGTCGCGTTCACTCCGGTAGGTATGGTGGTATCCTGTTCATGTGGAACCGGCAAGAACGCGACTGAAGGGAATCATTATCTCAAACAAACGGGCAAGCCAGAGGCAGCGTCAGTTCCAGCCAAAATGTTGAACAATGTTAATTGAAATCTAGGACGTATTCATAGCATGCAACTTTTCAGTCGATAGTTGCATGATGCTTTTCATGATGCATGATGAGGCTTTTCTAAACTGTTATTTGAGTTAGATATTTTTTCATTTGGCACGTTCAGTTTTGGTGGGTTTTATCGGGTCGAAAAGAATCAGAAAAGAAAAAAGAGTTGAAATGGCTCCAGACAAATGACAAAAAATATTTTCTTTAAAAAAATTAACTTAGCTAAACGTTTATAAGCGATAATTTTGACTTTTGGTGAGGATATTGGGGAAAGATATTGGGGAAAGATGTCATCGTGCTTAGCTGTGTTGCAGTAGAAGGAAAGATTTTGGTTGTGTCTAGATAAAACCAGAGCCGGGAGTGGGACTCGAACTCACGACATCGCGTTCAGCTCACAGGTTACCCAACCTCAACGCTACGAGCACCTATCGCCCTGCGCAGCTTGCTCAGTGTTTCGGCTAAAGTTCGGCCAAAGTGTCTGACGTCTGTCAATGTCACGAGGCGAAACCCCAAGGTAAATGTCCGTCCCGGTAGCTCGGTCGGTAGAGCGTTGGACTCCATGTGCCATGTGGTGAAGGCGCACGTCCCGGTTGCAAAAGTCTGGGTTCGAAACACGACGTGTGCTTGACGTTTTTTAGCCTCCTGAGCCTGACGGGTATGGTTGTGGTTGGTGGCAGGCCGCTGCAAGGCGAAGTCGAGGGCCTGAGGGGACCGGCCGTGCGCGGCTATGTGCGCACGTTAAAATTTGGACTCTAAACCATAGACCATTTTGACATAGACTTAACCTCAAAACCATAGTCTGCAATAGACCAGGAATTGCTTGATCGGAGGGTAGATGGCAGGGTCAACGCTTAACAAGCTAGGCTTAGCGGGGACTCTGTCCTTGTGATTCCTTCCATCCAAAAGGTTCCGGCCAAATTTATATTAAAAAAGGGGGAGCCGAACCAGGTTGGGCCCGAGTTGAACCAGGCTGGACCGGGGTCATACATGCAATCATGGTCAGACACAACAGAAGTTAATTTCGGGACAAATATTTTTATTAACTGATCTTATTGTTTTTTAGCCTACACGTATAATAACTTTTAGCTTTTTTTAACTCGAGACTTCATGCACAGAAATGTAGCGTTCGTCCACTTTTCCTCATCGTCTCTTAGCGACTTGATTTCATGTGGCGGCGGAACGGGGGGGGGGGCATCGGGGCCAGACATGTGCATGGATCCGAGTGGTGGATCTATGACCTCAGTGGATCTCGAAGCAAAGTACAGGTTGGGATCTATGATCCCACCGGATCCGGCGTGAAAAATACATCTTGGATCTATGATCTCATATGATCTGACGATAAATTAAGAACATGGATCTATGATCTGAGTGGATCCCACCATGCACCACATTTGAAACCATGTTTTAAAGGGTTTCTTTGCCAATAAGTGACACAGAGCTATGGATTATGACGTGCGATTACATAAAATCACTAAAACAGAACGTTTGTGAGTTGAAACAAGTGCTTTTTTGGGATGTATGTGGTAACAAAAAATAAGTGAGGATCTATGATCTCACTGGATCTCAAGCAAAAAATGAGACTCGGATCTGTGATCCCTATGGATCTCTCGAGAAATTACAGAGCTGGATCTATGATCCCGACGGATCCGAGATCAGGATCCGTGGGATCAGATCCCAGATCCATTTTCTCGGATCCATGCACATGTCTGATCGGGGCACCGTGCCCCCGTTTGATTTTGGCATTTTAACATTAGCCCTATGGGCGTTGCATGGAAAGAATGGGACCAAGAGTCGGCAGTGCCCCCACTTCATTAAAGGTGTTCCGCCGCCACTGCTTGATTTGACCCTAAAGGAGTCTTACCAGGCAAAGAAAAAAAACACCTGCGTTATCCCTAAATATTTGCCCAAGGGCGCTCTACGCAAGAAACGCCAGCCGGTCAAAAAACTGGCGAACGAATACGATCTTTCTAGTGCTTGAAATTATATTCAATGAAAATTTCAGGAGACATAAATAATCTTAATCCTTATAGCTAGGCGCTCGGAGCATTCGCTAGCATTCCATTGCCAGCTGCATTATCAACGCCACATTTGCATTACTTTGGGTGCATCATACATAAGTAACAATAGGTGAACCGGCCACAGCAAAACCATGCCTCATTTCCTTCCAAGCTGCCAAGCTAACCGGCCGCCCGGCCCACCACCGCGATATGGAACAACGCTGGAGTGCGCCATTTGCCTACGGCAGTGCCCCACCGCGCCGGGGCTGTTTGACAGGTCACCCGCACCGTGACCTCGCCACCCGCTCCCCCCCCCCTCCCCGCCCACCTCCCAATCGGGCCCAGCTCGGTAGTGACCTCTCCTTGAATTTGACATGGACTCGACTAAGGCTCAACGCCATCTAGTTACGTCTGGAGATCCTAATAAGATCCACTGTACAAATTCGCACGGTCATGTATTTGCGACAGAAACATTCATTCCACTCCGAACAAGAATCATACGCTCACATAAAAACAGTTCACTTGCACCCATTACAAATGCAACTTTTGAAGTCAGAGTCACACGCCAGCCTTAGCTATTCCACATTCGTTCTGGGGAATGCACGTAACGGTTCAGCAAATTATTGAGATCGTCATGATGCATCACCATTTACGAATGACGGTCTACAGCGGACTTTCCTTCAAATTCAAATGCTAGATATTTTGATGCAGACAAAAAAAGCGAATGGTCGCTAAATTTGTGTGTTCTAGAACATTTGGAAATGCGATTGCCTGTTTTCCCTACAACTTACATAATATTGGTTGATACGCAAAGAACAACAATCCTCACCTCGGTGGTTCAACTTGTAAACCATAAAATAAGCGCAATCAATCGCGTACTCCTATTTGGCTTCGTTCGTTGTCTTTGTTTAGTCATATTTTGTGAAATGCTTGTCGTTTGTAAATCACGACTATCACAAAGCAATTTCAATGTCAACAGTAAAAAAGGGACAAAAAAGAAAAATCACCCATGCACCTTAAATTCACTATCGACGAACAAATCATGATTACCTAATGACTAGCGCACCCCATAGTATACACAGCGATGTAATTAATGAAAACGTGGAATATGCATTACATTCGATGCTTTGGGAAGTCGACTCGTATTCAATATAGGTAGGTAAGTTCACCATACAGCACGTATGACATGTGAAGTTTGTATGAACGATACATAGGCGAGGAGAGACAGGAATGATCGACACACTCAGATTATCGACACGTACCTATGCAGATCTGTCCATGCGTCTACCCCTCGTTCGTGACAAACATAGAACATTGTTCGCGATACCATCCGGGGTGACCTCTGATTGAGACACTATTGCGCTAGTTCCCGTGGTGCCTGACCCCTACATTGACACAGTCTCACCACACAGAAGTCACCTCCGACCTTCTGACCGCTCTGGGGACCGTCCAGGTCGCGGTCGCTGGCGACAGCTCATCAGCGTGTCGCCACCGCCAATCACAGCCATTTCCGCCACTCGGCCGGCCGGCTACACCAGTAGGCCGACCTCCTGGTGCCCCGAGGGCGGCGGCGGCGGCGGCGGGCTGGCGCGGCCGCCGAACGTCGCGAGCTGTTTGATGGCGGCGGAGCGCGGCTGGGTGGGGCCGGTGAAAACACATCTCTCGGAGGGAGGGGTGTATTGCAGCTGCTCCGGCGGAGGGGTGCGCTCCCGCAGCCCGCCGCGCGCTGCCGGAGGGGTGTAGGCACACCGCTCCACCTCACTGGGCGAGTGGCAGGCGGGCCGGCCGGCCGGCACGAGGTCCGGAGCGGTCCCCCGTCCTGACCGGTCCCCGTACTGGCCGTACTGGCTGTACTGAGCCCCGGCCACTCCCAGTGGGTACTCTGAAATGACACAACAAGGGCAGTCAAAACTCAAACATGATTCAGATGGAACCCGTTTCATTGTTTGGTATTGTTAGCATTCTTTAGGGACCATGTCATCCACGTGGTCACGCATCCTTGCCTGATGGGCCGGTTCAGAGCAGGTGGCTCGGATGGCTCATGAAAAGGCGTGTCATTGTTGTGTTCTACATGGATGATTCAGTGGCCAAACAATGCAGCCAGTGTCCCTGTGATGGACGGCGCCGTCACTTGGATTGAAGCGAGCTAAAAAGCTTCCTATGTGTCGCCGACGCAACGAAAGGCGACAGCGATTGGAGCGCACGAGGAACGTTAATATTTTATTTATGATTTTACTGAACGTTCCGACGGGTTTCGACGAAAAATACAAGTTTTTTGAGTGCATTACGACGATTCGTTTCCCTTCGCTTTTCGTATTCGTAATATGGGAATTTTTCGCATTTAACGTAATGTATTCATTAACTCAACATTCGTGATTGTTGTAACGACAACAATTAATGGTCCTCCGGGCCGGATAGATAAGAATTGATCCTTTTATCGTGTGCTTTTGTCATCGATTGCCATTGACCCCGAGTTCATTGTAACGTAACGATGACCTACTTCACTCGCTAGCATCTATCTCGCACTGTTACAGTTAAAGTAAATTGTAGCCCTTATCATGGAGACGGCTCAGAAGAAGTTACGAGCCAGGAAGAAGGGAGCATTTACGAGACTCTGTAATACAGCCGAAACCATTATCGCATCAAACGGAAGCAGAACGCAACTGCAAGGTCTACTCGAAAGGATCGGAGAGGCTTTAGACAACGTGGCTGAAGCAAACGATGCGTATATAAGAGGACTCGAAGATGACAATGAAGATATAAGAATATCAGAACGCTACATGGAAGAGGTGGAGGAGCGTTATAAATCAATTGGTGACAAAATCACGTCGTACTTAATGGCACGTAAGAGCGACGCACCCTCCGAAGCGAGCTCGCGAAGGGCGGGCTCAAGCATACGATCTCAAGCGTCAAGTACGTCAAACCGCTCTACAGCATCTAAAGAAGCCCAAATTAATGCCAGTCTGAAACGGCTGCAGGCGCAGCAGCTAGAACGGCGCACACAAGAGGAGAGAGCTCTGGAAGAGGCAACGAGGAAAGTGCGACTGGCTGAGGAAGAGGCGAGAAGAAAGATGCGTCTGGCTGAAGCGAGGGACGCTGCAGAATTGGCTGCAAAGGAGGCTGATTTACGCCAGGCAGCTGAGGACGAGCTGCAATGGGAAAGAATAAATGACTTCGACGGAGAAGAAGCTGAAAACCAAAGACATCAGCAATCGAGTGTGATCGAGATGAACGACGAAGGTGCCGCAGCCCCAATAGACGGTCCAGTAACCGAATGTTTGACGGCGCAGAAACCGGACCGGCCGACGAGCACCATGGCTAACCAAAAAGATCAAACAGAAGAGCACGCACCGAAGGAACGGCAGGTTCAAAATTTAAATCCAAGACGGACTGCTTCTGCAACATCCTGGATTTCCGAGGTGGCAAACAAACCGCAAGATATGACGTCAGCAGGGCAGTACCCACCGGGCGGCCATCATCGAAGTGTTCCCCAGATCAAACTACCAATGTTTAGCGGGAAGGCAACTGAATGGCCACAATGGATCGGGCTGTTTAAAACGCTTATACACGACCAGCAGTGTTTGTCCGACGCAGAAAAACTCGCCCATCTTCAGTCTTCTGTCACGGGGCTGGCCAAGCAGACAGTCGAAGGAATGCTGTATGATGGTGCGCTGTATCCTGTAGCCTTAGAAACGCTCATGGAGAGATTTGGAAAGGAACAGGACATCGTAAATGCCAATCTTTCTGCCGTCTTCTGCACACCACCCATGAAAGAGCTGGACCCGACGGCGCTGGAAAGATTCCATGCTGTCGTCCGCTGCGCGGTCAAAGTTCTTGAAAATATGGGGTTCGAAGGTGATCTCAACAGCACCGAAAACCTTCGTCGGGTCGTGCTGAAACTACCGAACGAGCTGAAAAGAGAATGGGGGCGTCAAATCGTGGAAATGGAGCCAAAACGACCTGGTCTAAGGGACTTCGACAGCTGGCTGAGCCAACAAGTTCGCATCGTCACGGCCCTCCCAGCCAAGCCCACGGACTACGACAGAACGACTCGCTATAAGAGTGACCGCTCCAAGAGCCTCCTAAGAACACCTTCAGCTCCAGCAACCTTGACCACGGCACCGAAGGCCAGCATAAAGAGCGCCAGACCTCCGCACGAGCAGGACGCGCCACACTGTAGCTGCGGAGAGTCACACGAGCTGTCCGTGTGCCCTTCGTTTCTGCAGCTGTCAAAAGGAGAACGAGCAAAGTTTATCGGTGAAAGTGCTCGCTGCTTTCTGTGCCTGAAACTAGGACATCGGTCGCGACACTGTCCATCGGTAGAGACATGTGAAGAAGAAAACTGCCGGGGAAGACATCATCGCCTTCTTCACGGCAGCAGCAGAGTCTTCCCTTCTAAGACTGATCGTTCAACTCGTAGGACAGTCGCGGCTACAACTCCACGGAAGGATGAAATGACCCTGCTTCAGATAGTGCCGGTTAGGGTTCACGGAGACAATACTTACGTCGACACGTTCGCTATTCTCGATTCGGGGGCTCAGACCTCACTGTGTACCGACCGGCTGGCTGAGAAGCTGCAGCTGACTGGTGAAGTTCGGCCTCTATCGCTGAACAACGTGGAAGGCAGCGGACCGCAGCGGATGGCCATGAAGACATCGGTGAAGCTCACCGCACTGGCAGAGGATTCGGAGACACGCTCAGTGACTGTAAATGAAGTATGGACGGTGCCAAGACTGAACGTTCCGGTACCCCAGCTGAGCTCCTCCGCGCGCTCGAAGTGGCTTCATTTGAACGGGCTGGACATAGCCGATGTTGGCGCAGACCAAGTAGAAGTGCTTCTTGGAGCCAATGTTACCGAAGCGATTCTCCAGAAAGAAGTACGTGTCGGGAAAGCAGGCCAGCCAGTCGCCATCAAAACGCATTTCGGTTGGGCTCTGACTGGCTCCATCGCCAGCTTGACTCCGACTGATCAGCACCATGTGATGCACATCCACCGCAGCACCTCTCAGGAAGACGAGCTGAACGAGCTGCTGCAGAACTGGTGGAAAACGGACTCATTCGGTACCTCACACGACTTGAAGAAAGAGACTTCGCACGAAGACAGACGAGCCATTCGAATACTCGAAGACACGACCAGGCTTCAAGACGATGGTCACTTTGAATGTGGTCTCCTGTGGAAAAAGGACGAAGTGTCGCTGCCGGAGAATCGCATCGGCGCACTCCGTCGCCTGGAACGAACTGAAAAATCACTTCGAAGTAGCCCTGACAAGGCGAAGGGATACAAACAAGCCATCGACAGTTATGTCTCTCTCGGGCATGCTCGTAAGCTGGGACAAGACGAGGCAGCCAAAGCCAACCCTAAAAGGTGGTACCTTCCTCATCATGCCGTCTTCAATCAGAACAAGCCTGGGAAGATAAGAGTTGTGTTCGACGCGTCCGCAGAGTTCCATGGAACTTCGCTGAATGAAGAGCTGCTAACTGGCCCAGACCTTCTTCAAGAGCTTCCGGCTATTCTGATGCGTTTTCGCGAGAAGTCAGTGGCTATAGTCGGGGACATCGATCAAATGTTTCATCAAGTGCGCATCCAGCAGAGCGATCGACCAGCCCTCAGCTTTCTCTGGAGGGACTTGGAGTGTGGCCGACCTCCAGACACATACGAAATGAATGTCGCCATTTTTGGCGCAAAGTGCTCTCCTGCGATCGCCTCCTACGCGTTACGAAAGGTGATTGAAAGTCAAGTAGAAGTCGGACTCAACAAGCACTCAGCATCTGACATTGCAAAGCAGTTCTACATGGACGACTACGTGGCCTCAGCAGAAAGTCCTAAGAGTGCTGCCGACCTACTTCACACCGTCACCAAGCTCGTCTCCACAGGCGGGTTCACCCTGCGAAAATGGACAAGCAACTCAAGAGAGGTGATGGAATCTGTTCAGCCGACCGATAGGGCTCGTTCCGAATTGGACGCATTCACTCCGCTCTCTCCTGAGCGCGTGCTCGGCCTGATCTGGGACACAGAACAGGACACGATCGGTCTAAACGTTCCGAAGAAACGAAATCTCCCAACGACGAAACGGGAAATTCTGAAGGCAATAGCAGCGGTATACGACCCGCTCGGTCTGCTGTCGCCGTTTATGCTGCAGGCAAAGCTGTTGATGCAGGGTCTATGGAGACAGCAGCTTACATGGGACAGCCAGCTGGACGAACAGGACCTTCACAGGTGGCGATGCTGGCAAGAGGAAGCCAACATCCTCTCACAGCAACGGATCTCTCGCTGTTACACCGCTCTGGATGGACCAGTGAAGAGGTCAGAGCTGCACGTGTTCAGCGATGCCTCGGAAGCAGCCTTCGGCGCAGCAGGCTACCTCCGGCAAATCGACGCGACCGGCGCTATCCAATGCGCGCTGGTCATGAGCCGGACTCGAGTCGCTCCTCTGAAGCAGCTGACCGTGGTCCGTCTGGAGTTGCAGGGAGCTGTCTTAGCTACAAGACTCGCTGAAAGTATCACGTCAGCACTATCTATGTCTATCGACAGCGTCTACTTCTGGACTGACAGCCAGGTGGTGCTTGGCTACATACAAAATGAAAGCAGACGCTTTCATACGTTTGTCGCCAACCGCGTAGCGGAAATCAGGGACAAGTCGGACCCCGAACAGTGGCGGCACGTCCCCGGACCGCTAAATCCAGCCGACGACTGCTCCAGGGGCCTGGAGGCCTCTGCTCTCACGCCGGACAGTCGGTGGTTCCGCGGTCCGAGCTTCTTATATGACGATGAGACAGAATGGCCGAAGTATGAGTCACACTCACATCCGACACAAGAAACCGACCCAGAGGTTAAAGTGGTGGCCTCTGTCAGCGTGCGAGTGAAGAAAGTCGGGCTGCTAGTCGACCCTGCTCGCTTCTCATCATGGACGCGGTACAAGCGAGTTGTAGCGTGGTTATTCCGTTTCGCATACAATTATGCTGCGAAGCATCGCCCGCAGTACAGCCACTGGTCTGTCACCGGCCGCCTATCGACAGAGGAGCTGTGTGCCGCTGAGTCTCACATTCTGAAGAGAAGCCAGCAAGAAAGTTTCACAGAAGAGATGGACGATATCTCTCAAGGAAGGCCAATATCCTCCAAGAGCGCCCTGGCACAGCTAGCCCCGGCTCTCGACGAAAATGGCGTTCTGCGTGTCGGTGGGAGACTATCAAAGAGTGATCTGCCGCCATCGACCAAGCATCCCATCATTCTACCAAGGCTACATGACGTCACACGCCTCATCGCCATTTCGTACCATCGCAAGGTCATTCATGCAGGAGTCGAGCACACGATGAACGAGCTCCGTCAGAAGTTCTGGCTTCCGAAGGCTCGCTCGACGCTGAGATCTCTGATCCACTCCTGCTCCGTTTGCAAGAGGCGACGCGCGCGACCTCAGGCCCCCCTCATGGCTGGCTTGCCAAGTGCAAGATTCGACTGCAAGCATGCCTTCAGCTCTGTTGGCCTCGACTTCTGTGGACCGGTGTACGTGAGGAGTCGCCGCAGTCGTCAAAAACGATACATCCTGCTAGTGACGTGTCTGGCTTCAAGGGCAGTCCATCTAGAGATGACGTCATCACTGGACACGGACAGCTTTTTACTCGCTTTCCGCCGATTCATCGCCCGGCGAGGTAGGCCTACTCACGTCTTCTCCGATAACGGCAAGAATCTGCTGAGGGGTGAAAGAGAAATTCGTGAGGCCCTGCAGAAGTGGAACAAAGCACACATCCATGATGCCTTGGCCCAACAGGATATCACGTGGCACTTCAACCCGCCTGCAGCGCCGCACATGGGCGGATCCTGGGAGTCTCTCATCTCTTCGGTCAAGAGAGCTCTGAAGGTCGTGGTGGGAAACAGCCTGGTGGCTGAAGAGGTGCTGCACACAGTCCTCACCGAGGTCGAGCACATCCTCAACAGTCGGCCTATCACCCACGTGAGCTCGGACGCCGGCGACGCCGAAGCTCTGACTCCAAACCACATCCTTTTGGGACGCAACTGCCCAAGTCTGCCTCCGGGAGTGTTTTCTGACAAAGACCTCTCCATGAAAAGACGTTGGCGTCACTCGCAACAGATTGCAGACCATTTCTGGCGCAGATGGACCAGAGAATATCTGCCCACACTGATCGGTAGACAGAAGTGGACGAAGGATACCAGAAACATTCAGATCGGTGACGTGGTGCTAGTGGCTGAGAGTAATGTACCTCGTGGCCGCTGGCCCCTGGCTCGGGTAGCCAAAGTGTTCCCGGGATCAGATGGACGAGTGAGGTCAGTCGAACTAAAGACGCCGAGTGGCACATATGTCCGACCTGTCGTCCGGTTGTGTGTTCTCGAGGAGTCGGAGTGAGCACGCACGTGACGCAGGGCGTGAGGAATATCGGTGTTGTACATAGGATCCTGAGATCGTCTCTGAGGTGCGCGAGTATATCGTTAGACTGTGCGCTTGTTAATGGACAGACGGCCTCCAAAAGGTACTGGAGGTAAATGTGTCGTGTGTTACCTGACTATATCGGGTATTCGGTTCGATTTCGGGGGGGGGGGGAGTGTGTCGCCGACGCAACGAAAGGCGACAGCGATTGGAGCGCACGAGGAACGTTAATATTTTATTTATGATTTTACTGAACGTTCCGACGGGTTTCGACGAAAAATACAAGTTTTTTGAGTGCATTACGACGATTCGTTTCCCTTCGCTTTTCGTATTCGTAATATGGGAATTTTTCGCATTTAACGTAATGTATTCATTAACTCAACATTCGTGATTGTTGTAACGACAACACTATGTTTTTCCCTTGACGATTGTGAGTCCTTCCAGTAGTATACATATGAAACGCAAATACCGACCAAGAGACGCAAATATTTCGATATTATCACCAAGATTCATTAAGTTACCATTACATATTACTGTATGCCTGGCCTATTCAAATACATTAGCCTGAGGGGTGTGGTAATAACTGGTGTAAGCAAAGTGACCACGGTCAAAAACGAATTACCAAGTCAACATTTTGGGATGTCCTCGTTCAAAAAACGGCTAAGAGCTTCGGTCTAGACAATTATTTTATCGTTGGCATACAGTAAAATACATACCAAACTCGGCCGGTGATAAATTTTCAAGACCTCAGTCCTTACTGATTTTTGAACTCGGCCTTCGGCCTCGTTCAAAAATTCAGTAAGGACCTCGGTCTTGAAAATTTATTTACACCGGCCTCGTTCAGTATTATATAAAACCGTTCTGCGTGTATCGACTCACCCCTGGTGGGAGTGCAGGAGGTGCTCCTGTGCAGCTTGGTCCCCTGGTCACCCTGTCGACCGTCAGTGGCCGTGGGTGACCCTCGCTGACCTCTAACCCGCTCTGAGCGGAACCGAAACACGTCTGACGAACGAGACCGGACGGCGCCGGGCGCGCCGGTCTGACGAACGTCGGCGATCTGAGGAAGACGCAAACAAACAAACGGACACATGGGTCATTAGTGCGGGTTTATCGATGCAATACGCATGCACGATAGAGTTGTTTATATAAGGATGTAGAATAAACGTATGACGTTCGACAATAAAATGTTTAATGGCATGCCATGAATGTTTCTTTTTTCTGCCATACGGTATATTCAGGTATGTAAAAACATTCAACGGAATTATTCCCAAGGACTTGATGTTACACATCAACCACGCAGCCTCCAGACTGCACTCGTCAGCGAAATGTTCTCACCTGACTGTCGCTGAAGCTTTCCTCCCTGCTGCCGCCGCTCTTTACGGAGATGGTGCTGACCGTCTCCGTACCGTACATGTGCAGCATCTCAGACTTCGTGCTCACGTCACTGGCTGCAGGGAAAGAGAGGAATGTGTCATGTTTAAACGCTATTTCTCTTAATTAATGACAGCCACTTTCTATATGGAAGCCTATAGAAACCTACTCGCGTGGTTTCTAATAAATTCCCTATATTAACCCGCGCCCCGCTGGGCTATTCAGCCATACGCGCCCTGCTGGGGGGGGGGGGGGCAGATTCTGCCCCCCCCCCTGTCTAACTTCCGAACCGATGGTCGTAGAAAGACGGGGAAAACGGCAATCGAAAGCTCTCAACAAGGCGGATCTTAAGAGCCCAAATTTTTTTGCTTAAGTAGGTCAGAGGTCAGGTCAAGGTCAGGTCAAGGGTACAAAATGCAAGTTTCTACAGTATCGGCCTTGCACCGTAGTTGCCGAAGAATGGACTGAGACTGATTGCCCAAAACGTGTTCTTAGACTACCAAGACAATATTCGTTGCACACAATGTCATTCAAAGGTCAAGGTCAAGGTCAGGTCAGGTCAGGTCAGGTAACCAAAAACAAAATATAGAAAAGGGCATGTGCGACACATGTTTTATGGGTCATTTTATTCATGGAATTCAATAGGCACACTCAATAAGTGATATGGACCACCTCTGGATGAATTTCAGGTCGAGGTCAGGTCAAGGTCAGGTCAAGTGAGGTCAAATTTTGAAGTTGGTTGTTAAGGCCTAAAAAGGTGTCTATCCGATGCAGTTTTTCACGGCAAATCGAATGGTGCTATTGTTGTTTCCGTACGAGGTCTAGAACTTCCAAAAAAAAATCATTTTTTCAAAAATTTTGTGTGTCGTGACGTCATAAAATTTTGAATAACTCCCACATTTTTGAACAGATTCTTCTAAAAATTGGTATGTAGGTGCACATAGACCACTTCTTTGACATATATTCCGGTTTTTTCGATCAACTCAAAATTTTGGATTTTATAAATATTTTCCCAAAAAAGTCAGTTTTTTGGAAAAATGTTGGCCAAAATCCAAAATTTTCAAAAAACCGAGATAGCCATTTGATAGACAAAGTAGAATCACGTATAACCGTTTTTGTTACGTCTTGATTCCTTTAAAAATGAAGATGTTAGTGGCGTTTGAAATTTTGCCGTTTTTGAGGCGAAAATGGCGAACATGACGTCACTAAAACGTCAATTTCTCAAAAAATTTCCGACAGATTTCGCTCAAATTTTCAGGGAACGTGTCAAATTGATGTATGATAAGGTACTGAAAGTTTGACGTCGCTGGCGTAACGCGTTTAGAAGTTATTGGCGAAAAACGGGAGGGGGGCAGATTCTGCGCCCCCCCCCCCCACATCGGGGCGCGGGTTAAAACTACTTTTACCCCGGGAAAATAGTGATCAGAGCTTGGTTAAATTTATTTGGTGGGCTCAAAACTACGACAGTACATTTCGTAACAACTGACAAATAAATATCTAACGAAATATCGTCAATTGATCAACGATCCCGCAGCTGGTGTGTCATATTCCCGAGACGTGCAGATGTAAGTTATTTGTCTGCAAATGACCAATGTCCGGTGGAACGATCGGTGTCAATGTTCCGTTCATTGGGAGCTGGATGGAAACTTTCCAACACTGAAGCATTGTCACGCCTGAAAAATGTCTGGCAGATGACGTAGCTATATGCTCTACCTGGCATGTTATAAGTTCTACATTCGAATGCGGAACTGGCTTTATTCGAGATGAAACGACCTTGGGCTTTGCCGCCAACTATTATAAGGTGAATGATATAATATTTAGTACGTGCAATATGAACACAAAATATGTATATAAAAATAACAAAATGATTACGCATGCACAAAATGATTTCAAGTGCAGGTACCAAGCATGCTATGAAACTAAATTTAATTTAGATCAGACATGGGTGTCTTTCATTTCTTTTATACTTACAGGCTGATTCTACCATTTTCTTGGGTTGTTTCGCTCTGCGCATGCGCCGTCGAATAAAGAAGACGACGAGCGTGACGTTGACGACGAGAAGCAGCGCTCCGACAGAGGAGACGGCGATGATGACGATCCAGGGCAGCCGGGCCTCGTCAAACACGGCCGGCTGGGATTGATCGGCGTCGCCTGCAACAAACCAAGGTCACCTTCATAGACATCCAAGTTCCAGACCTTTCTCGGAAGCTTCTGATACTGTTCCAGTGCACGCGCTCCAGCAGCGGTGGACATTGCATTTGCGTCATTGAAACACAATAATGCATTGCGACTTTTCTGTACAATTGTCTGTCACAATTTACTCCACGCCAACTCCTGCAAGACACATTCCAGCTCGCACGTCATGGGTGAAGCCTCACTTACCTGTGGTTGTTGCCGTCGCCGTGTCGGTGCTGTAAGCGCTGCTGCCGAGAGTGTTGAAGGCCATGACGGAGAAGGTGTACCGCGTGCTGGCTCGGAGGCCGGTGACGGTAAACTGGGTACCGGAGGACGGAGGTACCGGGTCGACGCGTCTCTGGTCGCCGGCACCGTCTGCTGTAGTGTGTCGGACTCGGTACTCCTGGTGGAAGGATGCTCTATCAGATCGGCAGCTTCGGTACTCGCCAATATATTCACTAGGCAGCACGTTACCGATAAAATTACATTTAACCCGTATTGTTGGCTGCTTGTAGAACTTACTTGCTCCTGTCCGCCGTCGAAGCCGGCTTCCCAGGCCACGGTGGCCGAGTCGTGGGACACGTTGACCACCTTCAGACCCAGCGGAGGGTCCGGTGCACTGGGACGGCCCAGCTCTATCTGCTGACGCTGGGAGCCCAGCTCGTTGAGGGCGACACACTCGTACGTGGCGTAGTCCGAGGGCTGCACGTCCTTGATACGGAGCACCGACTGCCACGTCATGAGGTCCAGCTGGAAAAGAAAGTTGGATTTAGAGTCGATAGCAGACGCGCTAAGCCAAAAGGCAACTAAAATGAAATAAGATAAATTAATTTACATAAAATCAAAATACCTTGAAGACTCAAATAAAACAAAAACTAATCACGTATCAAACTCTTGTTTCACGCACTTAAAACTACTCCAGTGCGGATCTGGAAGACTGATGAAGCGTCAAACTTTTCAGTGGGACACGCTATTTTAATTCTGACAGACCGAATTTCCATCCGATCCTTTATCATCCAGATAACGAAGAGCGTGGACCGTCGACCGACCTGTGTGTAAGCAAGGCTGTATCTGCCAGGATCGGTGCTGTTATCAATCAAGGTGCCCTGCGTGGACCACTGGAAGGTCACGTTGGGTACCCCGCGCGCTCGGCACGTCAGCATTGCTGTGCCCGTCAGGTCAGCGGCAGACTTCGAGAACCTTCGGCCGTCGACAATTTCTGGCTCATCTGGAACAGAATCCGTCCGCCGAAATCAGCTTTCACGCCGTATGCACGTCGTGATGACTTCGCATTTTCATTATTGAGCTGATTAAGAAAGCCCAGGGTGCTTTTGCGTTTGAAGCCTGGCAGGAAAGGTACAAAAAAGGTAAAAAGTCAGAAAATGAAGACAAATCGTGATGTCGCTATGTTGCTGATTTGTTTATGCTCAAACGGACGTGACGAATGTTTTTAATGTTGTTGTTACCAATAATAAGAGATATATGTCAACCTAGGTACAGTGACATAATATAATTGTTATGCGATATTCATATTCTTGGGGATGGACACGATGTACGTCTACAGATATTATGTCAATATCCCTATGCATTCATTTTCAGCTGAGGCTCACTC